TATTGTTCATGCAATACTATTTTTAGACTTTTAATTAAATCGGGGTCAGGTCATTCATGCATATCCACGATCACAATATTCAATCACGTACCCGATCACTAGTCACATGGGTACCGCTACAAGTACATGGGGTATTAAGAAACACCGCGACACTATGTGACTGACAACTGTGTAATATATATATAAACGTTACTCTCTTAAAATCCATTAGATAATTGTCTAATTCATTAGTCTGGGCTTACTGAGACATGCTATCTAACATTGTTATAATTGCAAGTTGAAAATAAACCTTTTGCTACAAAAATAGAATAGTTAATTATCTAAAGTTGTATTTTCAAATGACTGTTAAACTATTAAAAATGGTATTACAGTCAAACCTCTATAATTGCACCCCTCTGGGCCATAGAACAATTTTAAAAAAAGTTTATTTAGAGAAGGTGTGCATTTATAGAGGGAATTTTTATTATGTTTCTATATACTTGGGACCATAACAGAGCGTTCATTAGAGAGAATTTACATAGTGGTGCATTTATGGAGGGTGCAATTATTGCACGTCTCGTATAAGTCCATATGGGACACGATTTTTGTATTATGCTCACAAAGATTTATTTATTCAACTAGCCAGTGTATTTTTTCTTAAGTACACAAACGATGATGTGTAATTGCTAGTTGTTGCTTAAAATTCAATTTTTCAAAAATTCACTAATGACATTGGCAATTTCTGGTGCCATTATAAATATTCTAATTTTTTTATTAATAATGTTAGAATGCTTATTTTTTTTTAGACAAAAATTTTCTTAAAATTATATTTACCCATGTCCAACATTAGGAATTCTATGAAGCTGTGAATTAGGAATTTCGTGATTAAGTAATTCACCATTCTGAATGGGAACTGCTTCATTAGTTTCACCTTGAACAATTAAAGTTGGAACTTTAATTTCTTTTAGTCTTGAAGTCAGATCACATTTTTTATTCCCCTCCCACTGACGTTCTACGGATATTATAAATTAGATAAATTTTAAAAATTGATAAATTTTAAATAATATATATGTGTATACATACTCATAATTTCAAATGGCATTCTAGGGCTAGTGTTAACTAAAACCTCCACTATTTTATCAAGTTTATCAGGATGTTCAAGTAGATATTTAGCCAAATTCTTATCATTTTTAGACTTAGACTTAAGAAG